CCCCCCCCCAAATTAAACTACCTCACACACACACACACACCGACCTCCCGGCGGTGGAAGGAAAGAGCTGCGTTTATTTTCGTGACAAGCGTTTTTACAAAGTTATAAGCAAGATACAATGTGTTTCATATCCTGTCCTTTAAAACCCGCAACGCCACGAAATAAGACGCCAGTAACATCCCCCAGCCCACTCCCCTCGGCGCTCCTAACCCTCAACCCTCCAGGCCGTGAAAGGTGATTTGTAACTGCTCCTAGTTCACAAGAGGAATAATTCATTCCAGGTAAGTGTAGGAAATTCCAAGAAAGTGACAAAAATTACCGAATGGGTGGATTATTATACTTCTTGATCAGTGGTCCAACATCACCTTGCAGATTGCTGACCTCTAACCTGCTGTCACCTCTACTGAAGTCTGGTTAAAGATGAGAAAAATGCTACTCTCTATCCATTTGCAAACATCTGAATGTACAGAAAACATCTACAAAGGCAAAAAATCAGTCCCCTAGCCAGGAGGAACTTCAATTTAAATTGTGGAGCAAGGCAATGTACAGGCTAAAACTTCCCTGTTCTTTCCCATCCTACTTGTGAAAAACATATATGCTGAGCATCTGTATTCAGCAACTCAATTTTTTAATAATACAGGAAAATATTACCCAGATCTAAGCCTGCCATAGAAATAACTAAAAAATTACTATGATGGGAATGTTTATGCTAAATACTTTCTGTATGAATGTATCTAATTCATATTAGCTGTAAGGAAACTGCAGCCTTTTTCACAGAGTCGCTGTCTTGCTAGTCCTCTTTTGTACAAACCACTCTATTAAAAAACCATCATGTCCCCTAATTTTAGCATGGCTAAAAGAGACTGCTGCTGCTTAACTGTAAAGCACATGTTATAAATTTGAAGTTACTTAACATTCAGTACCAATTAGAAATAGCTAATATTTCGTAAAAACAAAGTAGCTGACGGTGAAATAACTAATGATTTGTAAAAAACTTGGCTGACAGTGGTTTGTGCGTTTACAAATTAGTATTTTTGCATGAAATATAAGGAGCAAATGAGTCAAAGTACTTTTGCAAGGAAAACATCTGTGATCTTAATGTTTCCATACCACAGTATGGCCTCTGGAATAAATAGGAGTTGCATTTATTTTACAATAGTAACATTGCAGTTGGTCCAGTTACCCAACAGTGTTCCTTACTTATGCAGTAATATTTGCCTGTTCCTCTAGTGTCAATTCTCTGTTAGTATTATAGCATATTTTGATAGCATTAAATAATAGACTTTGCACAGTTTGTTGAAGTAAAACGCCAACAGGTATTATGCTCTTGGCAGTTTGTAATTTCCTCTGTGGGTGTAAATCCTGCAGTCCCTACTCTATTCATCATTAATCTTTGCTGCCCTGTATTGTATTATATTTATTCAGAAACAGTCTGAAACACCAGGCCAAATTTTTAAGGTGCCTTAAACTGACCTTTAAAGTGAGGTCTTGAACTCTAAAGCCCAGTTTATTAAAATACTGTTTTTCAAATCCAAACTTTTCTGTGCACAGTCTGGAAATTGTGCATGCAAATAATGCACATAAGCAACTTTATGCATAGATCATTATTTGATACGGAGATAATATGCTAGCTATGAAAGCAATAGGTGTCATTTTAATAACTGCTTTTGAAAGGTGATTCTGCCCTCCAAAATCTAAGCACATATGTGAATAATCTTTGGCTGCTTTTTGCTTCAGTTAACATTTGTGTCAGAAATTACATGCAATGATTATGATATTTCACAATTATTGCAATTTATTACATAATTTCTGCACCTAAAAAGGCTTACAGAACTGGGTAACTCAGTAAGAATGGGAATGGCAGGACTCTTAATATTCCGTATTAGCCATAAGTGAAGAAGTGGTGGGAAGTAAAACAGAAAGATGCTGCCTAATGGTTATAGTTATTGTAAACATTCTCATCTTTCCCTTCCATAAAATAAAACAAAATAAAATAGCCGTAAAGTGCTCTGGAAGGCTAAATAACCCAGAAGTGCAGAGTGGGACTGAGAAACCTGCTCCCATATTTTCCCCATTTTAAATATAGCAATAAGAGAAAAAAAAAAAAAATCAGAACACTTGCTTGTCTTTATTGTCCGTCAAAACTTTAAAATAATTAAGTAATCAGTTTGCAGAGTTTGCATAGAGTGTGGCTTTTGAGCAACCTGGTAAATTAACTATTTGGTTCTGTTTAACTACTAAAAGTTTTATTTATTTCCCATATACTGCATGCAAACACTAAAAGCATCGTCGAATAGCAACGTATATACCAACCACCTAAGAATCATAGCAGTACTTGTCAAATCCATGCATTTAAAAATCATGAGCTACTCCCCTGCTAAAACACCTAAGAACAGTTACGTTGTTAAAATAACTTTATAGTTGGGGGTGAGTTGCTTTTGAAGCATTCAGTGGTCACATTTTCCGATTTTTTCTATAACCATAACAGGTAGCAAGTTTTAAGTGAAAGATGAGGTTCCCCAACAGTAACCTGGTTTTACACAGTGAGGGCTTTAACCAAAAAGAAATCTATCACCTATCACTCAAGAAGATATCTGTGCTAAAACTGCAAGAGCTGGTAATACCACAACAAAGCCCATTTCCTCCAGCCCCAACCCAAGTAAGTATTCACAAGTAAACAGGGATTACTGGACTAAATAAATCCTGCAGGGGTGGGCTGAAAAACACTTCTTATTCTTCAGAGTTTTGTTGTGCATAACTATCTTCTCTGTTTTTTTCTGTGAAAATATCTTCTCCTTCTGTGCTTTTTATTTCCGTTTGTGAAGATGATTCATCTTCTGGCTTCCTTTCACCCTCACCAGCCTCTGTATCTCCTGTGACCTCTACGGCGCTAACCTCGCCCTGCTCCAGCACCAAAGAAACTGGCACGTCTAGCAGTCCTGTTCTTGGGTTTTCTGTATCCAAAATGGGCACTTGCGTTGTGTCTGCGTTTTCAGCAGGATTATGAAAAAAGCTTCCTACCTCCACCGGGATGGCATGGCTATTCCCTGCTCCTCCTTCCTCCCCATCTAATCTTTTGCCTTCAGGCACATTTTCAGTGTGCTCCTCTGGCTGCAGTCTATCACTTTCGCAGCTTCCCACACCTGCGTACCAAATGCTTTGCTTGATCTCCACCTCTGCCTTTGCCTCCTGAGGCATATCTGAGCTTTCCACCAGCCATTCTGCTTGTGCCATATTGCAGGCCCCCTTGGACACATTCACTAAATTCGTACCATCTGTCCCCAAACTACATGAAGATGGTCGGTCCTCCTTGAACTCTGTGCGTTCTGCTGCGTCTTTATTCATCATCGTCTGGCTCACCTGAATTTGTGCCACAGCCATTTTGCTCAACTCATCATCCTCTTTATTGTGGTCCTGCAACTTTAATATCTCACCTTCACAAATCTCCTTTATGTTCTCAGCTGGAGTATCTGCTGGTATCTCAACCGTTACCATCAGCAAACTCCTTATCTCATTCACATCATCAGGGAATTTACAACTCTTTCCTTCTGACTTACTTTCTTTTTCAGGATTATCCCCAACCCCCCCTTTCCCTGTGTTTTCATCCTGGGAAATAACCCCTGTCTCAGTACTCGCTCCTTGGTCATTGCTTTCTTTTCTACTATCCTCTTCAAGCCCTGTTCCTACCACATTTTCTCTCTGAGATACTTCTTCCGTAATTTCTTTTTCTACCTTGATTTTCTTTTTGGCATTCCCTAAAATCTCTGTTTCTGCTACGTTAACATGTGGGGAAGTCAGCTTTATCTCAGAAACTTCTTCCTGTGCTTTGCTTTCTTTTTCAGTGTCACTGACAAACACAGCATCCATTGCTGTTTGACTCTCAGAAGTTACCTTCTCCTCCACTGCTCCTTTATGTACCTTAAGTTCTTTTTTAGGGCTGGCTCCAGAATCTTTCACTGCAGTTTCAGTCCCAGGAGCTACTTTTTCCTCCA